AGTGTTGATCCTTGTTAGATGTACCTGAGGACATTATTCTATCTGGGAACTGCACTGTTACTCTGTAGGTATGTGGTTTTAGTTTGGTGTTTGGTTTTAGTTTGGTTTTCAAAGGCAGGACAGCATATGTCACTGTATAAACTCCCTTTGAATCCTGTAGCCTGGTTCATCTGTATTTTCCAAAGGGCTGTGTTTTCAGAGAGTCTGGATTTGTAGAAGTGTGATCAAAATTCGTCACTGCTGGTGTGTATAGATAGGAAACCCAAGGCATTGCCTCATGGAGGGAAAGTCAGGCAGAACCTAGTCCTTACACGTGCTGATGGGCAATGACAAGTTGACCAGTTAGCATCAATGTAGTCGCGAGCAAGCCCAAGGATGTGCTGCTCCTGGCCTAGACAAACTAGTCTTGGGTGAGGTGGGAGCAGAGGACATGAAGTGGGGGGAAGGAAAGGGCTGGAGCGTGGTGGGGAAAGGCCACGAGGGGAGAGCTGAAGTGCGTGCAGTGGAAGGGAGTGTGAGTGTGTTAAGGGCATGGGGCACAAATCTCCAGAGAAGCAAGTGACGCGAATTCTGCTGCTCATTGAGCTGCTTGCTGTCAGATGGCTTTACTCAGTGGATGCAATGAATGTATTTGCAGCAGCTGGTAGGTACAACCTTTTCAAAGACATCAAATCTCATTTCCTGCAATTTTGCTCTTTCTGAGTCTGATAAACATCAGGGTTATTTGCTGGGGACTTGCCTGGATTTTGTGACTGGGTTTACCATTAGAGACTCCCACCTCTATTGCATAAGTCACAGCTCATCATATGGGGCTTCACGATTTTTTTCTTTTTCTTTATTTACTGAAGTTGCTGTAATGTGCTGAATATTGCCTCCGTACAAAAAAAAAAAGGCAACCCAAGCATATGACACATCCCCAAAGACTGAAGTATATTGATAGGTGTCATCATCTGTACATTTCTTCTCTCCATAGAAAATGGCAGTGTGGTCCCAAAATGTGGCTGTTTTTCACCTCTTAAACAATATTCTGAGGTCTCTAGTATAAGGCCTCTAGTATAAGGCTCAGCAAGGCTTTTGACACAGTCTCCCATAATATCCTCCTAGGGAAGCTCAGGAAGTATGGGCTGGATGAGTGGTCGGTGAGGTGGATTGAGAACTGGCTGAATGGCAGAACTCAGAGGGTTGTCGTCAGCGGTGCTGAGTCTAGTTGGAGGCCAGTAACTAGTGGTGTCTCCCAGGGGTCAGTACTGGACCCAGTCTTGTTTAACTTCTTCATCAACGACCTGGATGAAGAGTTAGAATGTACCCTCAGCAAGTTTGCTGATGACACCAAACTGGGAGGAGTGGTAGATACACCAGAAGGCTGTGCTGCCATTCAGCGTGACCTGGACAGGCTGGAAAGTTGGGCACAGAGGAACCTGATGAGGTTCAACAAGGGCAAGTGCAGGGTCCTGCACCTGGGGAGGAACAACCTCATGCACCAGTACAGGCTTGGGGTGGACCTGCTGGAGAGCAGCTCTGCGGAGAGGGACCTGGGTGTCCTGGTGGACGACAGGTTAACCATGAGCCAGCAGTGTGCCCTGGCTGCCAAGAAAGCCAATGGGATCCTGGGGTGCATCAAGAAGAGTGTGGCCAGCAGGACGAGGGAGGTTCTCCTTCCCCTCTACACTACCCTGGTGAGGCCTCATCTGGAGTACTCTGTCCAGTTTTGGGCTCCCCAGTTCAAGAAAGATGAAGAGCTACTGGAGAGAGTCCAGCGGAGGGCTACAAGGATGGTGAGGGGACTGGAACATCTCTCCTATGAGGAGAGGCTGAGGGAGCTGGGCTTGTTCAGCCTGAAGAAGAGAAGGCTGCTAGGGGACCTAATATATACTTACAAATATCTGAAGGGTGGGTGTCAGGAGGATGGGGCCAGACTCATTTCAGTAGTGCCCAGTGACAGGACAAGGGGCAGTGGGCACAAACTGAAGCACAGGAAGTTCCATCTGAACATGAGGAAGAACTTCTTCTCTCTGAGGGTGACGGAGCACTGGAACAGGCTGCCCAGGGAGGTTGTGGAGTCTCCTTCTCTGGAGATATTCAAGACCCACAGGGTCCTCTACAGCCTACTGTAGGTGACCCTGTTTCGGCAGGGGGATTGGACTAGATGACCCACAGAGGTCCCTTCCAACCCCTACCATTCTGTGATTCTATGATTTTGTGATAACTGAGGCTGATAATAGTTAATTAAAGAGTTCATGAATTATGTTAGGGTTCAATAAAAAATGATTCTTACATGCTTACTGACATTGTTATTTTTACTACTCCGTCACTATCTGGTCAGTAAGAGCAGCACAAAGCTGGAGCCCCGGGCTGGGACCCCAGTGCTTCAGACCAGGGCTGTTCAGCTGAGGTTTGTCAAGTCCGTGGAGGGGAAGGTATGTTACTGAGGTCTGCAAGCAGGGGCCTGTGTGCGGACTCCAGGTCCAGCAGGTCAGCCAGACACCACACGCTCCCTTCCTGTGCTAGCAATGGGGCAGCGCACCCCTGAGGGATCAAGGGACTGTAAGAAATGTGGGGTTGCTGCGGGAGGCCTCACACGTCAGGACAAGGCACAGGAAAATTTGGCTTGTGGTCCAGTTCCAGACTGAAGTCCTCTGCTAGACTTCCCTCTTCTAACCAGGCAGACGTCAACATTACCACAGTTTATAACCTGTTTCTTACCCCTTCTGCTCATGGACACCAGAATCTGCTTATACCTGCTAATTCTTTATATTCCACTGCAAAAGAAAGCCTTACTGTAAACTGTGACACTGAGATGGATGTTATGGAAGGAAAGGGAAATCAACCGATTTGTGATTCACAAGTGATCTGGGAAATCACAAAAGATTTACGTTATCCATAAATAACTTGCCAAATGTGAAGATTGCAATTATTTAGCTGCTGACTATGCTGCAGGACACCTTTTGTTACCCATGAGAAATTTTTATTTGAGGTAGAGCATGAAATAGTCACGTGAAGACATGAGTGTATGTAAACTACCATTCGTCAGAAAAAGGGAAATTTAGTCATATATTTAGCAGTCATTTCCCCTTTTTTTGGGAAATCCAAATGCATATTTTCTCTCTCTCTGTGTCTCTGTTTCTGTCATCCTCACTCTACGGAAGGAAATAAAGACGGGTCTAAAATGTCACTTGTTTCTGACACAAATCTGATTGGGAAACACGAGACAAAGTTCCGCTGTATGTTGAGCTAAACCCTATAAAAGGTCCTCACTAGCAATTTTCAGTCTTACATGTTTTCATGAGAAGCTAACAGCTGAAAGACTGCAGAAGCACAGGTAAGTGAATCTGATGGAAATCTGGGAATGAAAACCTCCCCTAAACCCTCAGACTGTGCAGGGCTTGTGGAGATTGCTAGATACTAAACCAAAGGGTCCGGAAATCTCTGAACGGAATAACCAAGTATTTTCATCAAGCAAAGGATCTAATGAGAGAGAAATTCCCCTGTTACAGGGCGTTACATGTGAACCGTGGAGCTCGTTAATGCCGCAGACAAAGCCACTGGCACCAAGTCCCGGTGTAGCCGAGAGGGGCTACAGCTCCGTGCCAGTGCCCCGGCAACCCTTGCAGATCTGGAGGCAGGGGCGATGGTCCGTGGTTATGAAACTGTTATTGAGCAAGAGGTTGGCTTTGTGGTGTTGTAGATATGACAACAAGCTGGGAATAGTTTATTATAGTCAAACTATCAGATCTCAGATAAATAGAGCTATAGAACAGGGAGAAATTTGGCTTAAACGCACATTATAAATGTAAGCATGATAGGATACACAGAAGATGTCTGTAGGTGAGTACCTATGAATATGACAGTTATATTGGTAGAAATATGTTTTTGCTTTTGGATACAATTTGAAGTAGTTGTCTGGTCATTTAATATTCATCCTATGAGACAATCATGGTGTTAGGTTAATGTTAAATGCATTCAATTTACTTTTCTGTATATAAAATGGAAACAGTATGTATCACATGCATACGTGTACTGTATTGTGCATAAACACCTTACATAGACCATAAAGTGATGCCTATATGTTTTATGTATTTTTGCCTGTGGTACACTGCAATAACACATACTCCATCAACGGAGTAGCAGCAGCTGGAACCTCGTGGCAGACCAGAAAGAATTCAGCGATGTACGCAGAAGCTGCCTTGCCCATGCCAGCCCAATACAGGTGACAATTAATGAACGGCTGGCAGCGGCTACTTTTGTTTTCCTTTAGTGTCACTGTATCTGACTTTTAGGACAAGCTGTTCTGGGTTTTCCTCATCTTTTTTTATCACAGATGGTAATATTGTCCCCGCTAAAAACTCACTTGCGCAGCTACAGCAAGATGGGTGTTTATGCTGTGGGAGCCAAAATTTTTTGTCCCAAGAGAAACATTTGCTGGAGACTTTGAAAGCTTGACCCTGGTTATAGGGGGAAGTTTGCCTGCAGCCTGATCTACGCTAGCTGGCCTACTTTGGTAGCCACAGTTAGGAAGATCAAGTGACATAGGGTTTAATGAGGGCCATACAACCTTGGAAGACACTTGGAGTGACTCCTTAAGACAGCTAAAGTCTATGCTGCTCCATCTTTGCTCCTATGTTCACCCAAGCTACTATGTTACAGCTAACTCAAAGCGGCTGACCCGTGCCTTGGTCAGATCTTAGTGCAAAATAAGCTGAGCTGGACTTTTCCAGCAGTAGCTGTTGCACTGAAAAGCTGTGGGGACAGCAGCATCTTGTGGTATGTTGCTTGCATCTCCGGGAGTGAAAGGAAAGGGACAGAAGTGATGTGTTTGTGCCTAGCCAGACACTCTTGTTCCACAAGTCAGCCCCCATAAACCAGGGATGAAGAAGCCTTCCTGCTCACTGTGGGTGAAACAAAGCTCACCAGGTTTGGAGTAAGGAAAAGAGCCACTAACTTTTCAGTTAACGATGAGTATTTTCATTGTATCTTCTGTCTTGAAATAAACTTCCTTGTAGATTTCAAGACACTTTCCCTCGGTTGTCTCCTGATTTCCTCTGGGAAAAAAATGCGTGGGCTCTTCTTTGTCCTGGTGACATGCACAGCTGGCGCCTCCGCTTTCAGACTCCAGGAAGTCAAAAGCACAGGTAAAGGCATGCTTTTTGTCTTTTTTTCTGCCTCTCTCTCCCTTCTTTTTAATGTGACTGGCTGACAGTAATGTAAAAATATCTCTGATTTATATAGAAAACTGCCCAGATCACACCGTGTTTTTCAAACACTACTATGAACTGCATGGAGAACCTGTGGTTCTGAAATGCCCTTCCCCCAGATACAAACATTTGGATTTTTCTGCCTTGACCCCTAATATCACATGGCATAAAAATGGTTCCAAAACCATGATATCAGGAAGAGATGAAGATCCAAGAATCTGGGCAAAAGGAGATGCACTCTGGATTTTACCAGCAATGCTAGAAGACTCAGGAGTATATATCTGCACAAGAAGGTGGGTATTTAAAAGCAAATCCAGTGCACTAACAAGGTAACTATGTCTAAAATATGCTAGCTTGATTCTAAACTCCAGTTATGTTCAGAGCACGTCTGGATAAGATCATTTCCTCACTGACTTTATTAGAGAAAAAAATGTGGAAAGTCAGAACTCTGAAAATGTGTTGTGTGTCTCCTATAGATAGATGTACTGAAATCTGGATAAATCGTGAGTATTGCCACTCTAGCTACGATCTCACGAGGAAAGTTCGAGCTTACTTATGAGCTAGTGAGGGCTGTGGGGGGCGGGGACATGCTGGAGGCAGAGGCTTCTGCAGAATGCAACCCTCGTGTTACAGCTTCAGAGAAGCAAATGGCCTTGTCTGCAGTCCAGATTGCCTTACAAAGCATATACCAAGGCACCACGACTCTGAAGTGGCTTCCTTCTTCCCTCATCTTTATCCCTGGTCTTTACTTTTCTTCTGCTGCACATTCTAAACCAGAATTTGATTGCCTTGATATTGCTGAAGGAAGAGACCCGATGTGTATTTACTCAACTGGTACCAGACTTGCGATATTGCAGTGGGCTGAGACTTGAGCTATGGCCTTTTTCAACCTTACTGGTCATTTTTTTTCTGAGTGTTTACAATCTGACAGCCCATTGTACAGTTTCAAAAGAGGTGCCAGGGTCTGGATTTGTAGGAGACTGAGGAAGGCAAAAACGCCCGTCACCATTAGAGCCTGAACTCCAGAAGGTGTCCTGGGTCCTTGTTCCCTGCCAGCTCCTCCATCCAGTCAGCCTCCCAGTACACCCCTGGCAACCAGCACCTTGCTCTGGGGTCTATAGTGGAAAACATATCTATACATGCCTGGAGCTGCCAGTGTAGAGTGCAGTTTCGTTGCTGGCAAGGCACACCTTGTGAATGATGTGTGTCAACAGTAGGAGAGATGGACAGGCAGAACTCAAGTTAATAAATCTTGTTCAGCGTATTAGGTCGGCCTTTCCACATGTCTCAGCAGTGATTGCAGCAGTGGGGCAGAAGAGAGACTTTGATAGTGAGGCCAGAACAACAAAAGGTTGCAAATCTTGTCCTGGAGCACAGAGTAGTTTCCTGAGACCTTCAAATGTGTTTTTAAATCCCTGTTCTGGACTGTTTTGCCTTACTTCCTCAACCTACAACACTGTGGCAGTGCTACTGACAGCTATAGTAAAATGCTGTGAAACCTGTTTGAAAAAGATACGCAGGAGTCAAGTACATAGCTTTGTTGCTAACATTATTGCAGGATTAATGAAGTACAAACAAATTGTATTTCCTTTGCAAACCATCCCACGGGGAAACCATCGTGTTTTTTCCAACGTCCTGTGAAATGAAGGTAGAAGCAGTTTGTCACAGATCTCTGCTTCTGCTGAGCAATCCCTTTGGGTTTAGACGTCCAACCTGCAGGTGACAGCCCATCACAGTGCTCCAGCAGGGTGTGAGTCTGTCTGCCTGCAGCCTCCAGACGCTCTCCCGTGGGTTGCAGCCCAGACACCCCGGCTTTACTGGACCCCGCAGAGGTCAGGCGCTGCCCTGGGTGGTGGCAGCTCCGAGGCAGGCTTTCAGAGGTCGGAAAGGACATAATTTAATCATCTGTTTCCCCCAGTTTGCCCCTCCTTGGGACTGGAAGCGATTGTCACTTGGGGCCAGAAAAATGTACTCACAGAAATGTCTACTGGTTGTGCAATAGTATGTGCAGATGTATTTTAACACATGCTTTAAGCTTTTTATTTCATCCCTAGGTCCCAGTCACTAGGGTTTCACAGTCCAGACCTCTTGCGAGGAAGTGGTGGAGGGCCCATGACGCACCACCTACTGTTTCGGCAGACGTGTTCCCCCTCCTTGCAAAATTAAAGTGATGCCTTAGCCTAAGGGTGCACAGAAAACTTGGTATACAAAAAAAAATGAAAGAAAAGACTGAAACTCTGAGGCGGATGCGTCAGCAACATGTTTAGATTATGCCAAAACCCAGTACCAGATATTTTCCAGGATCCCTCCTGGTACGATCTCAGTCTTTGCCTCTGAGAAATGGCTAAGGAGGGAAACGGAGCCAGACTGTCACTCGAGTTCCACTCGTCGCTGGTGGGTACTCACCCCTCTCCACTCTGCCCGCAGGAACTCCTCCTACTGCACCGAGGTCTCCATCCACCTCACGGTCGTGGAGAAAACAGCTGCTCAGGAGATTGCCTACCTCCAGGTTCTCTTCACTTTCACCTCTGGAAAGATTGTTTGCCCTGACCTCTGGGACTTTACACCAAACAGGACAAGCCTGGAGCTTAAGTGGTACAAGGTAGAGCTTTCACCTCCTCTTTGTGCAAAGCCTAGTCCTCACCTGTCTGCAAAGGTGCATACATCTCCACCCTCTGTTTCTCCTGAACATCATCTTGTCAAAGTCATGAGCACAGCATACTACACTGGGAATTCTGGGGCAGATGTACATATTTTAGGAAAGGTTCTCTGGGGTGGTCTCAGCACAGGGTGACATGCTCCACGTTATTTGCTCTTGCAGGCAGTGTACCTGTTTCTAAGGCTAGATTACCTACCCTGACTGCAGGGTCCGCCACGTCAGATTAGGCCCTTCTCTTTGGCGCTGTGCTTCTTTTTGTGGCCCCTCTAGTGAATCCCACAAAGTAGGACCTCTCAGCGATCAGCAATGATCAGCGTGAGCTGTTCAGATGGGGTGGCTTTCATTAATCAACTGGAATACAGCATTTGGAGTTACTAGATCCCTTGCACAAAGCTTATAGTGGTCTCTTGCCCAACTTGCCAGCTGGTGATTTTTCAAGTAGGCAAGCCTGGTTTTGCCTGTAAGGTCAAATATCCCTCATGTGACCATCTTCAGCTGTCCAATTTCTGCACCGGACAGCAAGGGATTCTTATATTTTCATAATACCTCGGGTTAGCTTTTATTTACACCTGCACTATGATCGTGTGCTCTGCCTCGTGCAGCTATCATTCTTACCGTAGGATGCAATACCTAGGCTGGCTTCATACAGCGGCGCCTATGTCGTGATTGACACCATACCAGCAAAGGGGCCTTGCTCAGGTTTCCCTTCAGACGCAGGCTATAACCCAGCCATTTCAGTAAGAGGCTGCCCCCCCCATCCCCCCCAATATAGTTCTTGCTACAGCTGTCAGGAAGACCGAACCTGCCTCCACGGAGAAGGAACATCGTTGCTCCTAGCAGGCCTCCAACCCGTGTATGAACAGAGCATTCGTGACACAGCGCAGGAATTTGTCGCAGTTTATGAGATCATGTAGGGCACGTAATATTTTTTTGTGAAAACCTGCCTGATTACTAAAATGTATTTATCTTAGAAGAGCGGCTTGGAATATCACTCTTATGAGGTCATGTATGGAAAATCATAGTGGTGTGAAAACCTTCGTGGTTACTAAAATGGTTTTGTCTTAGAGCAATGTCTTAGACGTCTCCTCTTAAGAGGACTCAGGAAAGAGCCTATGATATCTTTTCCATCTGAAAGTGTGGACTTTATTGAAAAGCTATACACACATGTTGTGGATGATAGATTAAAACTGTGATTCTTCACACCTCCTAGAGTGCCTCAGAGCATTTTAGAGATGGGCACGCAGTTGGAGAACTTGCCCTGTGGTGGGAAAGTGGAACTGCTCAGATTTCACATGATCAGTGAACTTTTAATAACGGAGAGACAGGGATAAGTAATTTTGTCTGGAAGTTACATGGGGCGTATCCACACCTAGCTGAGCCGTAACACCAGCTGCTGTCCTTTCTCCAGGATGCTCTGCCTTTGGAAGACGACAATGAGAAATTTGTAATTCTGAAAGGTTCGGCTTCTCTGATCATGACTTCTGTACTACCAACAGACGCCGGCTATTACACCTGCAAGATGTCGTTTCCATACGCAGGCATAACGTATGAAATCACCAGAACAATTCACCTGGAGACTGTCGGTAAATATTGACCCCCCCCTAAAACATTACGGCAGCTAAGAAAAATCTGTTCTTTGTTAATGGAACTGAGGAGGAGAGCTCGGACCGGGCCTCTCAGCACTGCCAAGGAAGGGGGGACGCCATGGGTGCTTGCTTTGGCACCCCGGGAGGGCGGGGGTCGCCCCTGTGCCGCCCGGGCAGCAGGGTTGCGGGAGGCAGAGCTCTATGTTGCAAACGGCTGTGGTTGTTAAACCGAGTAATTTATGGCTTGGGAGGGGGGCAAGCTCCCAGCCCTCGCTCGGGGTGGGGGAAAGCCGCTATTTCGCAAGC